TGGTGGGCAGATGACAGCTTGCCAGATGCTTTAGAGCCAGAGCAGAGCTGTGTGGTCCCTGTGTGGCTTCAGTGTGTGTGCTGGAAACAAGAACGTGACTGATTCCTTGTACTGGGGAGAGTCAGTTCACACCTACAAAGCCTTACAACTCTTCCTTGCCTTTTCATGTATCTTATCCCAGTTCCCCAAAATGCAGTGCTCCCATCAGCAGCTTGAAGAAACTGCCTTGCACAAAGGGGCTGATGTTAGAAAGATCTCAGCAAATGCCACGCTACCAAGCAGCTGCCAAATCAGCTGCATTACTGCTTTCTCCCTCACCCCACACCCAAACCTACCAGACTGGTGTCCCAGAGCAGAGATAAGGCATAAAGTCCTCATCAGAAGCATCAGCCTTGTCACCACCAGAGACAGGATACATCACCTTCCTTAGCACTGGGTTGGCAGTTGCTGTAACAGTTTGGTCAGAACCACACCACTGCCAGTGCTGCCATTTCCTGCCCTCTGGCCCTATAACTAAATATCACCCTCCTCCTACCAAGCAGCTCCATATTCTCCTTCTTCTCTCCCCCTTTAAGAGCCTCAGCCGTGCTCCACAAATCTCCTCCACCTGGTCCAAAGCTGCAGATTCCTCCAGTTCCACAGAGCTCAGAACGACAACCTTTCTCCATCAGCTCTAATTCAATTACAGCCTCTACAAATATTTCATTTAGGCTTTGAACTGTTCAGTGGAATTTGTATCTAGCAAAAAGTGGATTTGCTTCTCTATTACAGGCAATTCCTACCTATGAGAACTATTTCCCACTGCATTAGCATTCTGGTCATCCTATCACCACATACAAAAGGTGCTGCTGCCTTTTTATAATGCTTTTCTCCCCATGCTCCAGAGAACCAAGAAGCCTCTGGTTTCTCCTTGGGTGACTTCACGCAGAGCACAAAACAGTGGTCTTGCAAGCAGTCCATGAGTGTCAACAAAGATTATGATTCATAACCAGCAGAGCTAATGGAAATAATCGTGAAGAGGGGCAGCTGTGTCTTGTGCCCCCTTTGTGGGGCTACATAAAAGCCCAAGTCCATGGGTTGGCTTTTGGGTGATAGATCGAAGGTTCAGATCCTACAGATGGCATGTGGGAAATGTTTCAAGCCTCAGCTGTTCCTATTTCTCCACATCAGGTCTTCATGCTTCAGCAGAGGTCAGTGTGCTCCCCATTACTGGGTGATAATGAAAAATTGAAAGGTAGTACTTTGGAACAGCAGACTTCCAGAGGAAGCAAGCACTGCCACATTCGAGATACTCTCAGCTGTGGTTTCATATAGATTGCTACAGCTGGTTGTGTCCCAGAAGGAAGCAGTTCATCCCTTTCATCCCTTTCTGCTACCCTGCCACCAATGCACTCCAATGCAAAGCCCAGCTGCTCCTGCAGTTGCCCATTTGGCTTATAGCCTTGATGCTGCTCTATATCCTGTTGGCTATGCAGGTGAAAAATCGTTAAGTCTCTCAGTAAATCGGACCTGCTGCCTTCTTTTTTAACACATCTGCAGTTTCCTGTGCTCTCTGCAGATGAGCAGCGCTGAGCGTGGCTTTGTGTGGAGCAAATTTGCCATCTAGTGGGTGACCGCCTGTCTGCAGACGATGCTCGGGTTTATCTGCCTGTAACAGTCACTGCAGAGTGGGATTTGTCTCTACTAAGGGCTATGTAAAAGGGAGAGCTTCCAAATAAGCTGATCTGGGGGGTAAGGAAAGGATCTACTCAAAATGGCCATTGCAACCGATCTATGTCCACTAACAACAAAAAGACCAGATGCCCGGGTTGGATTCCAAGCTCGCCTGTAGCCCGCTGATGTCAAGCAAGAAGGATGCTGTGTGCATGGCCATGGGCAGCAAAAGGCCCCAGGTTGCTGTGGTGAGGAACTGCCACCTCTCTTGGTTCTTTTCCTGTGCCTGGAGCAGCATCAGCCATCGTCTTCCCACACTCTAAAGCCATCAGGAGCAGTTTGGGTTGAAGAAATGCCAGCGGGCTGAACGAGAGCAGGGCTTTACTATGCAAGTTGTGCAAGATCATCTTAGCAGTAGCAGCTGCATAAATCCTGAGTTACAGGGCTGAGAGAGGCTCTTATCTGCAGGTTCAGGGACTCTTTGTACTCTGTAAAATGCAAAGCAAAGAATGAAGTGCAAAGCTGAGCGAGATGAAGAAGCAAGCATGAAATCCATCAGGTGTCAGGTTATTACTTGCTTTCACCTGTCGTAGAAACAACTCTTGAAAATCATTTCAGATTTATTAAAGAATGGGAAAAACGGTTAATGCACTGGAATACTAAGAGATGAGGCTCTTCATGAGATGGCAACCATTATTCTCATTCTCTTGAGCCCTAAAGAGAGCTTTCATGGCCAGCAGCCCTATGTTTGACTGCGAAACTGGTGAACACAAAACATTTTCAAGGGAATTAATCAGGCAATGACAAATCCCCTCCTCTTCAATCACCATTATGGGGAAAGGCACCATGTGCACAAACACCTCCGAGGAGCAAACATCTTCTACAGGGCACGGGAATGGAGCAACTTGAGACATATAAAGCACTGACTGATAGTCAGCAACCCAGCCATAAATAATGGCAGGAACCGTTGGGTAGAAATGCAACTAATGAATCTAATTACCTAGAAATTAAGAGAATTAATCAGCATAAGACAAGCCTAATCGTGCTTAACAGCCATATCCCCCATCTCATGCAAATGTCTGAGTTATGCATTGTAAACAACACTTGTGGCTGATCAACAGCAAGGAGGGTGGAAATGGATGGACGTGTAGCAGCTGTAGGGATGGAAGAAAGAGGAACAGAGAGCACACAGCTGCCCAGGGGTGTCCTGGGGCTGGTGGGTGCTCTGCCCAAATAGGTCCCCCGACCACAAAAGCTGAGCATCCGTCTGGGAGCAAAATGTTATTTTGCTACTTGTTGGTTTAGGGGAGTTAATTCACCCTCATCACCCCAGCACCCACGAAATGGCAAGGGGTGTTAGTGAGAAAAACGATTCTGACTCGGTGGCATCCTGCAGGAATGATTGGAATTGGATCATAGGCAGCAAATACGCCGTTAGTTCAGCACCACTGCACTGCTTTGTAGCCGTTCAGCACATTGCATTACTGCAAGGCACTAATAACCAACCAGGAGAAAAACGTCTCAAGCGAGCCAGTGGCATCGCGGAGTCACAGAAATTAATCAGCAAATGTGAAACGAGCTTCCATAAAACCTCCGTGCTCCCTGTCGACTGGCTGGATTGAGTCACGACATTCACTGAAACACTTCTGATGAGCTGCCCAGGAAGAGTGGGAATTAGTTAATTAACACAAGGCAAGTGCGTTTCCACTTAGTCAACACCGACGAGGGGCTACGGGTATTTCTCATCAGCAGCAGAAGTTCTCTGCTTACCTGGCACTTCTGCCATCAGATGGGACTGAAATTAACCGCCACCCTGGAAAGCAGCGTGAGCACCAGCCTGTGTCAGCACAAAGTAAATTCGCCTTCAATTAGCCCATACCTGTAATTTGTACGAATGATGGGAGCCTTTACAACGGCCCCAAATGGCTGTGGGTAAGCAGCATGGCTTAAAAAGCAGGAGGGCTGCAGTGAAGGAGGGCAGTGCATGTCATGCACTCAATAAAGCAGCCCGATGCCCGTTCCCTGTTCAGCAGGTGTTTGGGAGAAGCTCTGCCCAGCAGCATGCAGGAGACATCAGCGATAACTGGTGAACAATTTCCAACATCTATGCAGTAATTCTTGCTAATTACCCTCACCAGCCATTCCTGCAGAAGGAAGATGACACCTCCCTTGCGACAAATGCCACCAATTATCCAGACGTCTCTCGCCTTGCTGGGACATCATTAATCTGACATAAGTGTTCCTCCCTTCTCTGCCCACGTCAGGGAAGACAGAAATGGTTCTCGTGAGATGAGGAGGCCACCGATTACCCTGCTTAGAGGGGGAACTTAATCAGCGTAAAGCAAATACATCAGCCAGGAAGCACAAGTGTCTGCAATCCCCAGGCATTAGGAGACACTTTCCATAAGTAAATATCTATAATGGGTGAGTGCTCTCCATAAAAACATACACAATCACTCAAGCAGAAGGCAAGTACTCTTCCAGCTAAGCAGTGCTGTCATGGGTACTGTCAGAGCTGCCCTCTGTCCATAGCAGAAAAACAGCTATTTTTGAGGATCAATCTGGCTTCAGTTTATTTTACCCACTTTTTGTACTGGATTGTTTTCCTCCTCTCCTCCCCTCCCCTCCCCTCCCCTCCCCTCCCCTCCCTTCCCTTCCCCTCTCTCTGTTCCACTCCATTCTGTCCAGCTCCATTCCACTCTATTCCATTTTATTATTTTTCTACTTATATCACATGGAGATAACTATTTCCCTGTTTTCTTGATATAAGAGCCCCCCAGAAACACCCTCAGTCCTTTACTGTTACCAGTTCAGTCCCAGGCACCTTTGCCATATAATCACAGTCACCATTATCACAGTACAAATAGCTTTGCCTTCCCAGACTGAAATTCTCATTTTCCTTGGGGAGATGAGCAGCTCTCATCCATCAGAGTTCGAACAGTGGCTTGTACCAGAGGGCAGTTTCTATAATTACATGTTACTCCAACAGAACTTCCCACAATAATTACAAAAATAGCATTTTTTTCTTTTAAATCTGTATCCTAGGTCATCATTCCTGGCACAGAGCAATGGTACTTCGTTCAGTTTTAGGTGTGTTAAACATCTGTTTCAAGGGTCTTGCATTGCCTTCCACAGGGACATGTACTGCACTGGGTGATTTCAAGGTTGCATCAGAATCCCAGACCTTACAAGCATGAGGTGAAGCAGAAATATCACATTTTTGGGTATCCTGGTGAAGAGAAGGCTCTGGGAAGACCTCACTGTAGCCTTCCAGTACCTGAAGGGAGCTTATAAACAGAGCTGTGCACCACAAGTAAATTCAGAAATCTCCCCAGTCCAGAAAAACATCATGAGGAAACATTTTTATTTTGATTGGGAAGAAAGCAGACGAAGATTTCCATTTCCACTCCTTCTCTCCTCCTGCAAGGAAGTGCAGCAATCAGTACTGCACGAAATTCTCATTTCCCCCCTTGCACGCAGAGAAACTCTCCTTGGGCTTTCTCCTGCAAATTAAAAACAGTATTTTCTCCACTGCGATGTGTGAAGACTGAGAAATGCGTTTCTCTTCTTTAAAATCATTTGAAAGCTCCTAAACGGAACCATTCCTCATTTTTAAACTTCTTTTTCTTTATTTTTCCTGCAGTGTTTCTGCCTGCAGCCATCCCAAAGCGCTCCCCATGTGCACGGCCCAGCCAACAACAAGACCTGGGAAGGCACAAGGCTTCCCCCAGCCCTCACTCCCCATATCTCACCCCAACCCAAAAGCTTCATCCCCACCCCACTGAGCAACCACCTCTGCAACATGGACCTCTCCATTCCAAGCTCCTAAATGAGTGTGAGGAGCAAAGATGCTGGTTGGGAATCCGGGTTCTCCCAGCAGGGCCTTGGACAGCAGCCTGGTGGAGGCACACGACCTCACTCATCACACCCAAAATGCTGTCCCACCGTCCCCAGCCCTGGGAAGGAGCCCAGCCAGGACCTAAGGGAAGTTTCTATATTGGAAATTCTATGGGACCCGTTCAGCAGCTTCACAATTCTGGGTATGCATGGGGAAGTAGAGGGATGCATCACCACCTCCATGCTTCATCTCAAGTCCTGATCGTAGCAGTGAGCTTGTTCCCATTGGGGCTTGGAGGGACGGCAAGATGTGGCATCAGGAACCTCTAGGAGAAAGCCACAACCCATGAAAACGTGGTGGAACAGAAAAGGAAGCACCACATCCAATTTGCCTTTAAGGATTGTCCCATGGTTGTATCCCAGGGTGGGAGATGGGAGGCTGAGGATATGGTGCAGAGTGGGAGAGGTGCAGAAGAACCCAATTCTTCATCTGAGAAAACACAGATGAGGAATCCTGAGGAACCCTATGGTTTCCCCATAGCAGGTCCTGTCCCACCAGCAGGTCCCCTCCCACCTTCAGCCCTCCACAGATGAGCCCAATGTCCCCAACCCCGTATGGTGGTGATAGGATCTACCCAAGGTCCCTAGGTTAGAAACAAAACCACAGTGCCCTGAGCCCTGCTGTGGGGCTGCTCCCACCAGGCTGAGCATCCCTTGTGACATAGACACATCCCAGTGACAGAGCACCTCATACTCTGGATTTGTCCATTGGGTGAGGCAGGTGGGCAAGACCCTTGTCCCAGGCTGTCCCCATACCTCCTCACTTGCTGTAGTGCCCAGCTCTGCTCCCAGCACACTGAAGTCATTCACCTGCAGCTCCCGCAGGCAGCGCTGGATGTGGTGCAGGACCCCTGGGACCCCACGTTGGTGCTGCTGGAGGCCAGGCACAGTGCTTGGGGACAGGGAAGAGGCAGAATTTCTGTGCACCTGTGTCACAGCACAACCCAGGTTTGGAAGGATCAGGAGGGGGTGGCCAGGCTGGGTCCCACACACACATCTCTGCATCCCGCAGTGCTCTGGCTGGGGTCGGTGGCTCCTTCAGGGTTCCTGGGGCTGCCAGCTCCTGCAGGTGACAGTTCTCCTGACAGACGGCCCCATTCACCTGCAGGCCCCACATACAGGGTCACCCATAGGGTCTCAGGCACCAAGCCACCAACACCCCATGCTCCAACTCCATCCCTGACCTTCTCCAAGCTCTCCTGCAGCTGCTGGAGTGCAGCCATCCTCTCCTTCCGCAGCACTGCCCGCAGCTGCCCCAGGGCCTCCTGCCTCTGCCGCAGCACGGAGCGCATCTGGAGCTCCAGCCCACAGAGCCTCTGGAAAAGTGTCACAAAAAAGGAAAGGTGTCACATCCCAGGCCAATGCCAGCAAGGCTCATCCCTCGAGTGCAGGCTGTGTCGCTACCCAGCACCCCACTGCACCTGGGGCACTGGCCTCCCTCCTGAGAACCACGGACCCTCAGGTGCCCAAAGTCAGGCTGCATGGAGCCCTGATGGTGGGCAACCAGCCCAGGGCAGGGATTGGTGCTGGGGAGGCTGTAAGGGTCCTTCCAACCCAACCGTGCTGTGATTTTGATTCTGCAATTAAAACCTTCCCACAGATCACCTCGCTTTGGCTTTAGGAGCTCACAAGTATCACAAAACGGGACACTCAGTGGCTGGGTGAGAGCCTTGCATTGCCAAGGGACGCATCCCTCCCACACCCACAGCACCCCTGGTGGGCACCAACCTCCTGCAGCTCCCGCTTCTCTTCTCTGAGATGCAGCATTTTCCTCCTCACGTTCCCTGGGCATCCAGCACAGCCCTTCTGCCCCTGCTGAGACAAGAACCCCCCTTCGGCCTTCCTCCTGTTCCTCCCTCCTCTCTTATGGCACGGCCAGCACAGTCCCTGCCCTGCTGCCTCCCAACCTGTCCCTCTGTCCCCCCCTTCATCCATCTCAGAGCACTCACCACTTTCTCCACACGATCCCACGCACGTGCCCTGCAGAAAGGAGAGCATCACCCAGTGGGACACCCCAAAACTCCCTCTTTGCCCATAGGACCCCAGAGCAGGGTCACAGCACACACCTGACCCCATCCCTATCGCTCTGCATGCCCCAATCTCCAGCTCCTGGCTCCTGCATCCCCTCCTGGCTGCTCCTCAGGGCCCGGCGCAGCGCTGCCAGCTGGAGGGAGCAGGGTGGACAAGGGTGGATGGCACCAATCCATCCAGCCTTGGGCACTGTTGCGGCGTTCAGCCAGCACTTATGCAGCTAATTAACTTGATGAAGGCAATGACTTTTACAAACTGGTTTTGAACAATCGCCCCTACGCTGGAGGGTTTTTCTTCAGGATTTCATTCGCAATTCATTTCTTTGATAAACGTCCCCGTGCTGACAGCCTTTCCATGGCCATTGTAGGGTCTGGAAAAGGTCCTGTGTGGGACCCAAGGACCTCCATATGGGGACAGCCACCCTACCATGCCCATCCACACGCACCCTGTGGGACAGGATGGCCTTCTGCTTCCAGTGCTGCCACCGGGGCTCTGCTGCATGCCCTGGGCAGGACACCCCATGCTGCCTCTCTGCCCAGGGGCTGCATCTCCCAGCAGGTCCCGCTGCTGCATTGGTGTCTGTAAGAGAAGGTTGGGGACACCACGAACCCACCAACGAGTGGGACTGGCTCTGGGCTGCCCACCCTCACTGCCACATGGTCCCACCATCACCCATCCCCAGGGGGGTCCCTGGCCCCACCAAGCCCCCTGTAACCTCTCCTGGACCCCTGCTTCAGCCCCCAGTACCCCAAGGCCAACAGCACACTCACACAGAGCTCTCCTCCGCCCATCACCATCTTCCTTCTTGGCAGTGAGGATGAAATCCCCCCCATGCCACCCCCGGCATGCTGGTAGCTCCTGCCATCTGTGATGTCCCACAGCCCTGGCCCTGCTCCTGCTGGCTGAGCTGCTTGAGGGTCTCAGGAGATGTCCAGCGTCCCCATTCCCACCATGCAGAGAGGTGACTGAAGGCTTTGCCTTGGAGTGTGGTCCCCAGTGGGATGCATCCCCCCTGCCCTGTGCTGGGTGCTTGGAGGAGGCCAGGCAGGGGGTCTCAGCCCCACTCTGGCTCAGCCTGGATATCCTGGCTCCCAGTGACTCCAGGCTTCCCCTCCTCATCAGCTCTGGGGACTCATCCTGCTCAGGGCACTGCCATGGGAGCAGGGCCCCATCCTGCCCACTGCCATCGTCTTCCTCCTCCTCGTAGATCCCCCCTGTGTCCTCCCAACACCTGGCAGCCACATCCTCGGTGCAGACAGAGCTGGAGCTGCTCCTGCTGCCCCACCGTGACCCCCAGCAGCTTCGCACTCCACGTTCCACCAGCCCTGTGTGGGGAGCAACAGGTCTGGAGCCCCCCAAGCTGGGATCTGCAGCCAGAGCTCTGCCCTCAGCGGGAGCCCCTGCCAAAATGCAAACAGAGCAGGAGTCACTGTGTGGGCTTTGGGTAGAGCAATTTATCCCATAGCACAACAGCACGGCATGGCAGTAAAGGCACAGGGGCAGGATGATGCATGCTCCACTGCTGCAGCAAGGAACGCCCACCTGATGTGAGCCCTACATAAGCTCTGCTCTTCACCACTCACCATTTTGCCCTCTGTGTTGCACTGTCCCTTATTTAAATGGGGACAGCTGTAGGATGCTGTGCACAGAGTGAAGCTCCCCATCCCCACTCACCGGCCATCCCACGGACACTGACAGTGTCAGGAGAGGCACTGCAGGCTCTGCCACGTGTCCCAGCACTGCGCTGCTGCAGGGAGGATACAGATGGAGCACCCCAGATTGCAGGGTTCTGCTCCAGAAGGCTCAAGGTCCTCATTACGCTTCAGAGTGAACGTCCCAAGCAGGGTGCAGCTGGGCTCAGCTGTGTGATGGCTGGGGGGCACAGAGTGGCACCTCCCTGGTGAAAGAGGAGAGGTCAGCGAGCTCAATGCAGCCCGGAGCTGATCGGCACGCTGTTGTCTGTCACCTGGCAACGTTGTGGTGTCCTGGCCAGTCCCAGCCTGCCCAAGGGCCTCCTCCACCTCCCCTGGGCCTCCTCCCCAGGAACTGCCCCTGAGGCTCTGTGTCTGTTCCTCCTCCATCAGAACACCTTCCCGGTCCCTCCCAGCCTTGACTTCGTCCCCCTGGGGGTCCATCCTCTCCCTGGGACACTCTGCAGCACCATCTCTCCAAATCACTGAGGCTGGAGCTCGATGATCATTAATGTCTCTCCCAATTTAAGACATTCTGTGATTCTACAACCTCCTCCCAGATCCTCTCCTGCCCTGGCCCTGCTAGAACAACCCCTTCCTTGGTCCTCTGTACCCTCTGGGTCACCTCCCCCAGAGAACCTCTTCCATGCAGAGCATCTTCCCCATTGCCACCTCTCCTATCTCTGCTTACCTAGCCCTCCTCCCCCAAACTACCTCCTGCTCTGGACAACCTCCCCATGGCCACCATCCCTCAATCTCCTCCCCTGGGCCATCCTCTTTTGGGCCACCTCCCCACGAACCTTCCCTGGGCCTCCATGGCCTCCCAATGGACAACTAACACTCCTCGGATAGCAGGGTCACTTCATGCCCAGAGCCTCGCCACCCCAGGGCTCCCCCCAGGACCCCCAAGCTGCAGATCTGGGGGGCGAGAGAGAACCTCAGCACTGCACCTTTTAAAACTCCTGAATCCAAGTTTTATTACCGTGTAGGAGAAGAGGGGGGTCACTCACAATATATTGCTCGAAAAGAAATACATTCAACAGCATTTACAGTAGAATGACATTAAAATCCTTTGGTGGGGAGTACGGGGGAAATAGAAAGACCAGGAGATGGTGCTCAGATGAAGTGCTGCCGTTCGGTGATCTCTGGAAGATACCACAAGTTTTAAAATTAGCCTAAAAAACAGGGAGGGGGGGGGGATTTGTGTTGCTGGGGTGCTCCTCACACTCCCCAGGCTCTGCTAAGCTGTGCAGTGTCTGTGACGGTGATCCTGGGAGAGAACAGAGGACAGGAGCTTGCAGCGTCCCACCTGCAGGACGTGGTGCCAACAGTCCCTGAGCAACGTCACCCTGCATCCTGGGGACACGGGGCTCCAGCTCTGGGACATTCTGGGGTGCAGAGGCTGCTCACCTTTCCCAGCTCTCTTGCATCGATGAAAAATACTTAAAAGAAAAAGGAAGAAAATAAGGCATTATTCAGGTGGGAGCATCTCCAATGCAGATCTGCATGTCCTGGGGCTGGATGGGGCACAGCTGGAGTCAGCTGCATTCAACCAGCTAACACAGCAGCTTTCAGAGCTTTGGAGCAAAACGTTGCTTCTCCACTTTGGGAATGAATCAGCATCACCCCTGCACACCCTGCCTGGGGATGGGCCCAGGGAAGCACTCAATCCTCGTGCTACAAAAACTCAGACAGATGCGTTCCGTCTTCATCATTTTTCATCTATTGTGTACCATAGAAATTTAAGCAAAATAATTTTATGTATATTTATATATATTTATATATATATATATATATAAATTAGAAGCAAATAAATAAGATTTAGGGGCACGTTGAGATCAGTGGGTGTTGCCACTCCAATAGCCACTCACTACTGTTATGCCACACAAGGTCTATGTATACTGTACACACAGGTTTGCTGCAGGCAGCAGGTGCTGGAAGAGAAGCCAACCAGGAGGAGACTGATGGTGGAGGAACCTGATTGCATAAGTGTTCTGTGGGTTTCGCAGTTCCCATTGCCTCAAAGTTCATTATTGCTAATTATCTTCTGATGGGGATGTGGCAGTCCGGCTACACGGGAGGGAGCACTCAGGACGGTGTGATGAAGACCCAGAGAACAATGAAATGCAGGTATGCAGGTTTCTGGTTCCCTCTGTCACCTCTTGGGTCTTCCCTCTCCGTACCAGAAGCACCACAGTCATGGAAACAAAGCAGGTCATTCAGGCTGAAACATCCTGATGGGTGTGATGGGGACAGCTGTAGGAACCACCCGCAGCCTTCCAGCAACGGCCACAACCCCTGCTATTTTCTGGGCAGAGATTCACAGCTGGTTTTTCGTTTGGTTTTGAAAGAATCTGAACCAGGAGCAGAATTTCCTTTTAACAAATGGGGGAAAAAGATGCCAAAGGAAAGAGCTCACACAAATGCACGGCATCCCACGACGCGAGCATCTTTGGAAGTTGTTGTCTCAGCCGATACAGCCGAGGTGCTGAAAGATACAGGCAGCAGCTCCTGACAGCAATAAATACCCTAGGCTAAAAACGAACCAGAGCCACGTGTCCTCTTTCCTAATTAGTAGCTGAAAAAGCCACCATTTAAAGAAAAAAAAAAAAAAAAGAAAAGAAAAAAAAAAGATGCTATTTATTAGTGCATAAAAAAATAGGTTTGGAATCCCTGTTTAGATTCTCTTTGTCAGATTTCTCCCTGTGTGTGTGTGTTTATTTGCACTGTCAAGCACTGGCAGGGCGCTGCCGTGTGTCCTCGCTGTCCCTCCATCTGTCTGTCCTGCTGCAGGCTGGCCACACCAGAGCAAACACGGCAGCTCAGAAGATATCAGGGCACGAGCTCCAGTCCTGCTTGTCCTTGGCCTCCCAGTAGCCACCTTTGTAGGTGCAGATGAGCTCCCCTGTGATGGGATCCACCTTCCGCTCAAACCACAGTGGGATGTAACCCTCGTAGTCCTTGCCTGCATGGGGAGAAGCAAGGGATGAAGATGAGGTTGGGTTTGGAGAAAAACTCCTTTCTTGGAAAAAGTGGTCAGCTGTTGGAATGGGTGCTCAGGGAGGTGATGGAGCCTCTGTCCCTGGAGGTGTTTGAGAAATGTGGAGGTGGAATCACAGAATCATCAAGGTTGGAAAAGACCACTGAGGTCATCCAGCCCGACCATCAGCCCATCTTCACCTCAACCCTCAAAACGATGTGGCACTTAGGGACATCACTAATTATCTTCTGATGGGGACGTGGCAATCCGGCTACAGGTGGCCCATGGGAGGGAGCACTCAGTATGGTGTGATAAAGACCCAGAGAACAATGAAACGTTCGCTCAGTGGGCACGGTAATGATGGGCTGGCAGTTGGGCTTGGTGATCTTACAGGTCCTTTCCAACATGGATGGCTCTGTGATTCTATGAATGGGCACGGTGGGGATGGGTTGGTGGCTGGACTTCATCTCGGAGGTCTATTCCAACCTTAACGATTCCACGATGAGCAGTCTGCCCTTCCTCCCCAACCCCTACAGGGTTTCCCTGCAGCCCCTCATTCCCCACCTCACAGCATCCCACCTTCCTCCAGGGCCTCCACAGCCTCAGCCTCCCTCCTGCGGCGCACAGCCCTCTGCTTCTCCTCCAGCCTCTGCTTCTCCACATTGGCCTCATCCCAGCGGCCGCTCTCCATCAGCCTCTGGTCGGGACGCAGCCGGCTGTCCGTGGGAGCCACGCGCTCCTCGGGCTCATTCAGGGTGAGGGCCAGGCTGGAGAAGAAGTACATGTTCTCGGCGTTCTCCCTGCAGGCAGACAGACCCGATGAGGACCACAAATAGGGCTCCCATCCCTTCAGGTGCTTGTGTCTCACGCCAGCCTTTCCAAAAATACTATACCTGTTATTCTGATCCCCAAAAACCACCCTTAAGGAGCTCTGCATCCCACCCCATAAGTGGAAATGATGCCTTCGGGAGGCTAGGAGGAGATGCCAGTGATGCCTGCAGGGGCTCAGGGGGAGCATAGATTCATTGGTTTGGTATGGAGAAACTAAAAGCAAAGCCAGCATGGGGACGACATCACTCCCTGCCACAGCCAGCAGCCAGGAAAGCAAAACTCCAACCCAAAGAGCACGCCAGACACACAGCAAGCAACACCACAGGACGGGACTCACGGGAGGGGGTACTTCTTCCACAAGACCTTTGGGGACAGCGTCTGGTAGACAGTTTTCTGTTTGCCCTCGGAGCCGGCGCTGCCATGGCTGCTCTGCACGATTTTGGAGCACTCCATCTTCTCGTCCCATGTGCCCGACATGACATAATGGGCTTTGCCATCAGCATCACTCACCACCCCTGTCACCTGGCGGGAGAGACAGCAGTGTAAGAGATGGCTCTGGTGGCTTCTGAAAGCATCCAGAGTCCTCGAGAAGTGAAATACAGTGACTCAAGTGGTGCTCTGTATCCTCAGACATTAGGACAGAACCCAGCAAGGTCCCATGCTGACACAGCCCCTCCGCCCTCCACCCTCATCCTCCCCAGGGCCATACACTGGTCCCAGCTGTCAGCTCTGTCCCCAGCCCCCACCTGCAAGGACCTGTGGCACACTGAGTTGCTGGTGCAGCTCCGCAGCCCCATGCTGGCTGCATCCCACCCCAGTGCCAGGACCCCATGAGCCCAGCTGGGAGAACAGAACCCAGCCGGAAGGGCAAAGCCAGGCCAGAAGAAAAAGCAGGGAGATTTTTGGCTGCGTACCTTTCGGGGGACATCCCTGGAGAAGTAGCTGTAGGGGGTAAATTTCAGCTGGCATTTATCTTTTGACTTATGGTTAACAATCTCTATTTCACCAGACTAGATAAAAGACACAGAATCACAGCAAGTGAGAGACTTTGCAAGGAGACAAATGAGCCATTAATTGTCATTTGTGCAGCTGCACATCAACCTCAGTGCAGAACTACATCTGCTCCCCACTCCATTCCCTCCAGCCCCACGGCATGACAGGCCCAAGTAAAACACCCCA